AGCTCACAGCAACCTTCAACTCCTGGGCTCAAGCCAGTATCCTGCCTCAGCCTCCCAAGTAGCTGGGACCACAGGCGCCCACCACAATGCCCAGCTATTTTTTGGTTGCAGCCGTTGTTGTTTTGGCAGGCAGAGGCTGGATTCGAACCCACCACCTTAGGGGTATGTGGCTGATGCCTTAGCCACTTGAGCCACAGGTGCCAAGCCTGGAAAGATGTTCGAAGAACACTTAAGCATCTGAAAATAGACCTGCCATTCGATCCTACCATTCCTCTACTAGGTATATATCCAGAAGACCAAAAATCACATTATAACAAAGATATTTATACCAGAATGTTTATTGTAACCCAATTCATAATTCCTAAATCATGGAAGAAGCCCAAGTGCCCATCAACCCACAAATGGATTAATAAATTGTGGTATATGTACACCATGGAATATTATGCAGCCTTAAAGAAAGATGGAGACTTTCCTCTTTCATGTTTACATGGATGGAGCTGGAACATATTATTCTCAGCAAAGTATCCAATGTACTCAGCCCTACTATGAAACCAATTTATAGCTTTCATGGGGAAAGGGGGGGATGGGTGGAAAGAGGGTAATTGGTGGGACCACACCTACAGTGCATCTTACAAGGGTACATGTGAAATTTACTAAATGTAGAATATAAATGTTTTAACACAATAACTAAGAAAATGCCTATGTGAACCAGTTTGATGAAAGTATGTCAAATTGTATATAAAACCAGCACATTGTACCCCATGGTTGCATTAATGTACATAGCTATGATTTGATAAAAAACTGAAGAAAACCTAAGCAATAGGCTATTTTGCAGTTATACTCAGTTGCAACCCTAAGTTGAAATTTACTGGTTGGTTTTCTGATCTTTCTAAATAAATATGTGTTTCAGGCATTTCTTAGCCCAGAGAACCCCGAAGAACCTTACTTAGAAGGAATTAGCTATAACTGTGTGGCCCCAGGCAAACGGTTTATGCCAATGGACAATTTGTCAGGAGGAGAAAAGTGTGTGGCAGCCTTGGCGCTCCTATTTGCTGTGCACAGGTAAAATCACAACAACCTACTCAGTTTGTGTCAGGGCAGAGGCCAGTGGATCTTCCTACAGATCTTTACTCTGTCTTTGTTAACCTTTAGCAAATTGGCTTGGTGCCTGTGGCTCAAGTGGCTAAGGCGCCAGCCACATACACCTAAGGTGGCAGGTTCAAATCCAGCCTGGGCCGCCAAAACAACAATGACGGCTGTAACCTAAAAATAGCTGGGCGTTGTGGCAGGCGCCTGTAGTCCCAGCTACTTGGGAGGCTGAGGCAGGAGACTCGCTTGAGCCCAGGAGTGGGAGGTTGCTGTGAGCTGTGATGCCATGGCACTCTACCCAAGGGGACAGTTTGAGGCTCTGTCTCAAAAAAAAGGAAAAAAAAACATCTAGCAAATTGGCTCGGCGCCTGTGGCTCAAGCAGCTAAGGCACCAGCCACATACACCTGAGCTGGAGGGGTTCGAATCCAGCCCAGCCCACCAAACAACAACGAGGGCTGCAACCAAAAAATAGCTGGGTATTGTGATGGGCGTCTGTGGTCCCAGCTACTTGGGAGGCTGAGGCAGGAGACTCGCTTGAGCCCAGGAGTGGGAGGTTGCTGTGAGCTGTGATGCCATGGCACTCTACCCAGGGGGATAGCTTGAGACTCTGTCTCAAAAAAAAAAAAAAAATTAAGCAAATTGATATAAAACTATTTTCTTCAGCCAGGCAATTCAGTTTAGGTTTTAGGCTGACAACAACTTGTATATTATTTTCTTTATTTATATTCAGAGATCTTCTATGTAGTAAAGACTATTAAAGTATTTTTTTCTAAAAAAATAACCTTATTTCCACTGATGATGGTGGCACTGTTTCTTTGTAAAAGCAAAAAGTTAACTAAAATTAAGCCAATTAACAGCAGTAAATGAAGATCTAAGGTAAAAGATGACAGTGGCTTTCTATTTCCACAACTAGGAATATAACCATACAAGAGTTTGATAGTTGTGTTGTTACTGGTCTCAAAAAGGAAGGAGAATAGGCCACCACAGGAAATGAAAAAGGAATGACTGTGTGGCAGGGGAAGTCTGGGAAAGCAGGAAGCCAGGTCTGAATAAGTAATCTGAGCAAAAGAGGATAGTCACTAGGTGGCACCCCATCCATTTATTCAACAGATACTAAGTATTTACTGTGTGACAGGTGCTGTTCCAGGCACTGGAGAGTAGCTATGAACAAAACAAAACATTTGTCTCAAAGATATCACTTAGGCCAGGTGTGGTAGCACACACCTATAAGCCTAGCACTGAAACACTGAGGCAGGTGGATCGCTTGAGCTCAGGAACTTGGAGACCACCCTGAGCAAGAGATAGACCCCTAAAAATAGAAAAACTAGCCAGGCACATGTAGTCCCAGCTACTTGGGAGGCTGAGGCAGGAGGATCACTTGACCCTAAGAGTGGCTCTACCCAGAGCAACAGAGTGAGACTCTGTCTCAAAAAATTTTAAAGACACTTCACTTAAATTGGAGAAGACAGATAATAAGGTAAATTAGCAAACTGATTCTCCAATATAGAGAATAAAATGAGGGGGCAGGGAATGTAATAAGTGGCACGGAAGGGTTTACAGTATTAGAGTCATTAGGAAAGGCCTATTTGAGCAAAGATTTGAAGGAAGTAGGGGAGCAACTCACAAGGATAGCTAAAGCAAGAATATTCTTACAGCTCGGCACCTGTGGCTCAAGCAGCTAAGGCACCAGACACGTACACCTGAGCTGGCAGGTTCGAATCCAGCCCGGGCCCACCAAACAACAGTGATGGCTGCAACCAAAAAATAGTCGGGCATTGTGGCAGGCACCTGTGGTCCCAGCTACTTGGGAGGCGGAGGCAGGAGACTTGCTTAAGCCCAGGAGTTGGAGGTTGCTGTGAGCTGTGATGCTATAGCACTCTACCCAGGCGGACAGCTTGAGGCTCTGTCTCAAAAAAAAAAAAAAAGAATATTCTTACAAAGAAAGGCAAGTGTAAAGGCCCTGAGACCAAAGTGAGCCTGAAGTGTGTAAAGAATAGACCATAGGCAGCAGTGGCAGGCCCAGGGCTATTCTAACAAGGTGAATAATGGTACATGGAAGGTTGAGCGAACAGTTTGCTAACAGACAGGTTGTAGGGTATGAAGAAGGCAGAGATGACTCCATAGGTTTGGGTCTAATCAACTAGAATGTTAAGAACTTTCATTAACTAAAATGGAGAAGACCACAAAGGGAATTGGTTTGGAGGGGCAGGCGAGATTGGCTTTGGGAGAGTTTGAGATGTACATTAGACGGCCACACGAAATTGAGTAAGCAGGTGGACACTGACACAAGAGTTCAGAACTACTGACTGATAGAAGTGTGGGGGCCACCTACATTGATTAGATGGTATTTAAAACTGTGAGACCAGATGCTGTCACCAAGATAGTTGATTAGATCACATAGAGCTGTAAATACACACACTCCTGAGGGCACTACAGTGTTGAAGAGTTGGAGAGGAGTTATTAGAAGACTCAGAAGGGGCTCGGCGCCTATAGCTCAACTGGCTAAGGCGCCAGCCATGTACACCTAAGGTGGCGGGTTCGAATCCCCAGCCCGGACCCGCCAAAACAACAATGATGGCTGCAACCAAAAAAAAAAAAAAATAGCCGGGCGCTGTGGCGGGCACCTGTGGTCCCAGCTACTTGGGAGGCTGAGGCAGGAGACTCGCTTGAGCCCAGGAGTTGGAGGTTGCTGTGAGCTGTAATGCCACGGCACTCTACCCAGGGGGACAGCTTGAGGCTCTGTCTCAAAAAAAAAAAAAAAAAAAAAAAAAAGAAGACTCAGAAGGAGCAGCAGGTGGGTAGAAGTAGACTGCTACCCTGCAAGTCACAGAGCAGTGTTTCTAGGATGAAGTGACCAACCCCAGATACTCTTCACTCAGGTCACACAGGATACATAAGGATACATAGGATACACAGGTCACATAATTGGTGTTGGATTTAGGGAATGTGATTATTTACTACACTGAAGTATCCAAAAGAATATTTATTCTGAATACTACTAATCCTTTCCCCTAAGACTTTGTAAAACAAATTGAAAATTGTAACTTACTTGATTGTAATTTTTTTCTAGTTTTCGGCCTGCTCCATTCTTTGTTTTAGATGAAGTGGACGCAGCCCTGGACAATACTAACATTGGCAAAGTAAGTTTCTTTCTGCTTTTAATTTTCCATGGGACATCTGCAATTCAAGGATCGTGATGTAGTCAGAAGACAGTTTTATCCCAAACAAAGAGGACTGTGGGGCAAGCAATGAAAATCACTGACTAAAAATCAGTACTTTTAAAATCTAAACTTACCTAATCAGAGTTTTCATTCAAGGTTTAACGGACCCTCAATAATTGATGGGGAATCAACAGAGGGGTCAAATAAAGATTACTACATTACCAAACAGCTACTGGCATAATTTGCTTCTTCCCAATCTAGATACTGGAAATTAGAAGGTTGCTAATAGCATGCTTTGTGGCAAACAGGTCTATTTGGTCTCATGGATCAAATTAGTTGTTTAAAAATATCTCTAGAGGCTTGGCGCCTGTAACTTAGCAGCTAGGGCACCAGCCACATACACCAGGGCTGGTAAGTTCAAACCCGGCCCGGGCCTGCCAAACAACAACTACAACAAAAAAATAGTTGGGCATTGTGGGAGGCTGAAGCAAGAGAATCGCTTAAGCCCAAGAGTTTGAGGTTGCCATGAGCCATGATGCCCCGGCACCCTACCGAGGGCACATAGTAAGACTATGTCAAAAAAACAAACAAACAAAAAAAAAACCTCTAGATAACATTTCAAAGGAATTACAGAATTACAGTTTAAATTCTACCTCCCAATTTTATCAAAATTTACCCAATTACTGTACTTGCACATGATCTTATTTTCAGTCTTTGGGACAATGAAAACTAAGGGAAGTTTCACTCTTGAGAGTTAAGTTCTAGTCAGCCCTAGACTCACACCTATAATTCCAGCACTCTGGGAGGCCAAGGCAGGTGCATTGCTTGAGCTCAGGACTTTGAGACCAACCTGAGCAAGATCCCATCTCAACTAAAAATAGAAAAAAAAGCTAGATGGGCATTGTGACAGGCACCTATAGTCCCAGCTACTCCGAAGGCTGAGGCAAGAGGATCCCTTGATCCCAAGAGTTTGAGGTTGCTGTGAGTTATGCCACAGTGCTTTATCCAGGACAACAGTTAAAACTCTCTCAAAAAATTAAATTCTAGTCCTCCCTCAAAGGTCAGTGGGTACTGAAACCACACATCTTGACTGTGACTAAATTTTGAACATGAGGAATGTGGTCAGCCAGGGAACATGGAAAAATAAGAGGTAAACTGCTAAGGGGAGGGGAAGCTCCCACCTACAGAGTCCTGATATCATGGAACTACTGCTGGGGCCATCCATTTTTGGCAATAGAGGAATTAAACGCTCCTGGTTCTAATTTCAGGCCCATCCAACTTCCAGAAATGACTGGGCTTATGCATTTATGGCTGCTTGAGGGAGGCTACTCTAACCATACTGACAGATATGTCATTTATTTGTAAATTGACATTCTGGTCTGTAATCTTGTGAGCTTGGTTAATAAGTGCACCCTGAGAAAGGGTTTCAGTCATAGGGTCCTACACCTCTGAAGCTGACCTCTGCTAAGTTGCATGTGAAATGCCTGGAGTCAAGGAACACTGAGAGCTACAGCCTTAGGGTACCTTGTAATGGTGTCAGCCTAGTGTTTTAGCGTTTCCCAAATTAATCCAAATTATGGTAACCAGAGGAAGAAAATAGAACATCTTGAACATCGCTCTTGAATACCAGCCATCTACATCAGCTGACTGGATTCAATGGCCTGACTCATTTGGAAGAAATCGCCCCTTCAGTGGCTAATTTTGTGCACTTTGTGTCCCATATTTTGTAGGGAGGAAAAGCCTTACTGTGGATAGCGCTTGTCTCGGTTGCACTTAAGGTATCAGTAACTTCTAGATGTGATACCTGTTACTAGATGTTTGCAACATCTAATTAGATATTGATGACATCTCCAGGTACTGGGTCTTAACTATTAAGGGCCCATCCTATGTATTACCACCTCTTTTCATTATCCTTGAAATTTACATTCCTGAGACTCCATTTCTGAACTGAACAGAAGCAGTTATGTAGTATGAAGAACTATGAAATTAATCAGTTTGTGACCAGGATGCCAACACTTGTAATGGGTAACTCATGCAAAATGCATGCCACATGCTTTGCAAACTGTTTCCTTGAGACAAGTTTCATTATGTCGCCCTCAGAAGAGTGCTGTAGCATCCCAGCTCATAGCAATCTCAAAATCTTGGGCTTAAGCCATTCTCTTATCTCAGCCGCCCAAGTAGCTGGAACTATAGGCACCCACCACAATGCCCGGCTATTTTGTTGTAGTTGTCATTGTTCAGCAGGCCCAGGCCAGGTTTGAACCGGCTAGCCCTGGTGTATGTGGCCAGCACCCTAACCACTGAGCTACGGGCACCAAGCCAACTGTCCCCTTTCCCTGTGACTATCCCCATTACCTCAAATGCTGGAGCTCCACCTGTGAATTCAGCCTCTTAGCCAAGGGCAATTTCCTTCTTCTCATCATTCACTTTAGTGACTCATTTAACTGAAACTGCCATCCCTGCTTCTAAAGTTTGTGTGGGTAGTGGGGGGAGGGGCAGTCAGGACTAATACACAGGAGATCTAGGGAGTCGGTAAGTATTTCCTAAGACTAAAGATAGTTGGAGAATGAAGAACTTAAAGTTCTGAGTAGTTTGCTCACCAGGACTCATTTCTACTGAATCTGTTTTGCTTATTCTCATTTCCTTCAAAAAGAGCTGGAATTCACCACTAAGTGAATTAATTATGAATCCATACTAATTGCCATCTCCTCTACAGGCTTTGAGTTGGCAAAATAGGAAGCTGGACATTTAAACACCAGCCTTTTTTCACCCTCAAAAAATATCTTGAGTGGTGGAGTTTTTGTTATAAAGGCTGATTGCATGTTCACATCATAGTATCTTAAATTGGAGCTTTAGTCTTTAAAATGTTCTTAAAGGTTTAATCATATTTAATGAAGTTCATATTTTCTTACTCTAAGCTATTGATGTGTTTGCAGTTGTGGATTTACTGAATTGCCAGAAAGGCAAGTTAAGTCCTTGTGACCTAAAATGGGCAGAGACAATGCAAAAGTTACTGTCTCCAGAGCCCAGGCAAAGCCTTCCTTACTAGTGACATATATGCTAATTTCCTCCCAGGTGTCGAGTTACATCAAAGAACAGACTCAAGAACAGTTTCAGATGATAATCATTTCCCTAAAAGAAGAATTCTATTCCAGAGCTGATGCACTGATAGGCATCTATCCAGAGGTAAAAATAAATTCCAAGGGGAGAGGTACAGTCACTGTAAACTCCCCTTAGCACACTGACAGGTCGCTGTCTTTTATAATTAAACTTTCAAATAAAGACTGAGGCTTAAATGAATTTTTTTTTTTTTTTGAGACAGAGTCTTAAGCTGTTGCCCTGGGTAGAGTGCCATAGTGTCACAGCTCATAGCAAACTCAAACTCCAGGGCTCAAGCGACTCTCTTGCCTTTGCCTCCCAAGCAGCTGGGACTACAGGTGCCCATCACAATGCCCAGCTATTTTTTTTTTGTTGCAGTTGTCGTTGTTTTAGCTGGCCAGCCAGGTTTGAACCTGCCAGCTCCAGTATATGTGGCCAGTGCCCTACCCAGTGAGCTATAGGCGTTACCCTTAGAATATCTTGATTAAAAAAAATCATTTAAGTGAAAGAAGCAATTCAAAGTTACAGAGCAGTGGTAGTTTTGTAAAATAGTGTGTATTAACTTAGAGTAAATTGTTAGTACTTTGTGTTTTTGTAATGTTTGAATGTTTAAATAAAAAGAAATACACTGGTAAAACAAGGAACCATTTATCTTCTAAAATATCAGGAAAACATGAATTCACTAGAAGTTTCAAGAATAAATTTTAAAATTTGAACAAAACTTTCTTAACATTCAAAATACTTACCTGAGCTAAGGGAATAGAGCAACTAATTCAAGTCATTCAATATAGACAATTTTTACTTCCTTAGGTCTCCTTTAAGCAAAGATATCTTCCTAACAGGAGGTTAGGGACCACGTGGAAACAAGCTGCATGAGAAGTAGAAATTCTCATACCAGCTTAATACAAAGAAAAAAATCTGATATAAATGTAGATAATTGATACCCTTTGGGCATTTAATACAAATCCAGGCCCTTGTATTTAATACTTTTTCCTAATTAGGACAACTTTAACTGTCTTCTCTCCATTTCAGCATGATGACTGCATGTTCAGCAGAGTTTTGACTCTAGATCTTTCTCAGTATCCAGACACTGAAGGCCAAGAAAATATCAGAAGACACCGAGAGTCCTCTTAGGAACTAGTGTGACCTTGAGCAACTGGAAGCCATAAGAGCTAAGAGCAATTCCGACACAGTGATCTGGTTAATCACTGTTCAGTTCTGGCTGGTATTCAAACAACTCCTGACCAGCAGACTTCAGGAACAAGCAGGACCAGCCATTTAAGTTGTTTTAGCCAGAGGCCATAGCTCCCTTCCGTCCCCATTCCAGTAGGGAAAGTTCTCCCAGTTGGTGGTAAATCAGTTGGGGAAAAAAGTACAATTTTATACCATAAAACTTCCATTTTGAAACTAGTCAGAAAAATCTTGATTTCTCTATCTTCAATATGGTCTTGCTTTACATCTTTAAGGAAAGCTCTGGGCTTTTAAATATACTAGTTAGAGAATGGTTAATAACTTGAACCTGGCTTTTAAGGAAATTGTTTCAAACTGTCAATTTTGCAAGTCAATTAAAAATCTAATTTCAAATGTCTCTAGTGTTTTAATGGTGAAATTGAATTCTGTCTGCTTTGCCATAATCTGAGTTTTTCTAATTTCTATTGAGAAAGCTCATATTCAATATTTCCTTTCACTAAATACATATGTATAGGAGAGAAAGCACTTCTCAGTATATTTCCATTCAAAATGGAAGAAAATTTTGAAGTGACCTCTTTAAGATGGCTTCAGTGAAACGAAATTGCTCACCCACCACAAAAAAAAAAAAAAAAAAAGACTGCTCTGGGCCCAAGTGCTGCCAAGGAGTAGCCTCCTGAAGTAATGGGAGTTAGTTTTCAACAATTCATTGTGTCATGTAACAGAATGTACTCTGTATCTAAGAAGCTGAGTCTCACCTGTTTAGTACTGGCACTACCACCTAAATTCCCTGCTTTTTCCTCTACCTTGAAAGACATCAGCTCTAACAATGAAATGTTCCTTTAAACGTCACATGAACTCTGTGTCCTTCTTAACACCCGGTGTTTCTCTCTTCCATAACTCAAATTGTCAGAGCACTACCAAGTACAGTCACTTCAGTTACAATGCAACATGTCCACATTCCTGAAAACCAACATGCTACACAAAAGCATAAAACCATAGAAACAACAGAAATCATAGGACTACAGATACTTAAGATAGAACCTAAATAAAAATAGTTGATTTTACATACACTAAATAGTTAAATAAAAATATAGCATTTTATCTTGAAAAAACTTCCATTTGTGGAAGTGGCTATGGGGGGCAGAGGAAGGAGGGCTATCTGAAGCTTACACCTGCTGTGGAAGGCAGCGGCTCCTCGCCCACATGATGAGCTCAGGAAAGGGGCAGGCACTGGTGGGCAGGGGTGGACAGGGCAGGGCAGGAATGAGTCTCTAGCCTGCAGCGCCACCTGCCAGGTGCAGCTTACCCTATTCACCTGGTGCATCCAGGACCAGAGAACTTCGTTAAGGGCCACCATAAATATTTCTGGCCTTGGTGAAGTAAAGATTAGTAAGGAAGCTTTTAAGTAGGTACTTCTAGAACTATTTTAAACAAAATCATTAAAAAATGTAACTACTCTAGCTCTAAAAAGCAAGCCAATAGGCCACAGTTTGTCTTCCCTTGAGCTAATGTTTCTGACAATTATATACAGAAATATGCTCAAGGTGTTTCTATTTTGTGAATCAAATGCTGAAACAAACTTGAATATTAAAGCCATCAAGCAAGAGAACTGACAGGTATGCTCGCTGTCCCAGTGCAGCCTGGGTCCTACAGTGCAACATTTAACACTCTACATAAAATGGGCTCTAACTTTTCCAGTTTATTCCACAGAACCCTCTGCTCAAAATTTTGCAATACAGGCTTGGCATAGGGCGCCAGCCACATACACTAAGGCTGGCGAGTTCGAACCTGGCCCTGGCCTGCTAAACAACAAAGGCAACTGCAACCAAAAACTAGCCAGGCATTGTGGTGGGCACCTATAGTCCCAGCTACTTGGGAGGCTGAGGCAAGAGAATCACATAAGCCCAAAACGGCAACTCAAGCTAAAAGTTCTCATTAAATACATCACAGCAAGCCTTGTGATAAGAAACCTTGATCACAACAGGGTAGAAGTTAAATTTTTATTTATGACCAGAATGGCATAAAATTTTTTTCATGCTTCAAAAAGAGAAAGTCTTCAGCAGGTCTCGGGCTTCTCACTCCTTATACCCCCAACCTATGGTTTCTTACACCTGCGGCAGCTGCTGTGCCATTAATAGGGAATGTCACAGGGCTTGGCAAGAAATCTCACATCAAAAATGAGCAGCCTCAAGCTGAAACCAAGGAGGGCTTATTTCCAAAGAGAACCCTTCATTTTGAGACTACACTGTCCATCAGGAGAGCCTGTGCCACAGTCACAATAGGACACTCCCTGGGCACAGCAGTGCCCCCACGTGGCTATTTCTACCTGTGCAAATCCTGGAAATGTTTAAAGTGGTGTAAGACCCTCAAAAATCTCTTCACACCCCATATTAAGAAATAAGAACAGAAAGCTTGGACCTTAATCCAGAGAAGACTTGGAAAGCTTGGAATTTATAACCTAGCTAAAAGGTTAAAACTTGGTCTTGCGCCTCCCTGTACTTCCTCAGTTATCAGCCCCCTAGCGGTGCTGCATGACGCTAAACTGTGGTTTTCAAAAGGCCTTTTGACCTTCCATTTCTTTGGAACACAAGTTACCAAAATGATGTAATTCCAAAGAAGCTTTTTTGATCTAATTGTTTTTAAAAACCACTCAGTTTTCACTAGTGGATTTAGTGTGGGTTCAGAGCACCCACCAGTTCTTTACTAGAATAGTATAACATACCTTCAAGATGTTTTCTACAGTTAACAGATGTTCCCACATGAAAATCACACAAATGTATCTAGTTCTCTTTGGCAACAACCATTGCCTGGACAGTCTTTACTCTCCCCATTTTATTAGGGAAAACATCACCTTGATGCCAGAAAGCAGGCTGAATGGGAATCGGGAATACCAGGTCCATCTCCCTTCCCAACGATTTTGGTCCCTGAAGCAGCTGTCCATCAATCCTTACAAAGCACACCTGAAGTGTGTTCGTGTCACCTCCTGCACACTTAAACACCCACAGAGGGAACTCTTTCACCCAGCCTTGAGGGCCACACGCCCACAAGGCTCTCTTAGGGTACGTGACAGCTTAGAATTGAGATCCGTGTGGAGTTCTCCGTACATTCTTCATTGTTTGGGCATGGCACTGTGGCTACAGAAGGCTGGTTTTCAAGTTGCAGGTTTACTGGGTTTAGGTATTTCAAGACCCTCCAGCATCATCTGTTTAAGAAAAAGAAAGGAATGCCAAAGTGTGAAAAGTTCAGCATTAAGTTATTTGTAAGTAATTTCTATTTCAGCACTGCTTTATGATTATTCTTACATGCTGAACTCTTTGAAAATCGCTCCATAATGGAAAACTGTAGAGGCTGTCTAGAAATGGCCTTGTGAAGATATAAACACCATCAGAGAATCAAGAAAATTATGACACTAGATTTGCAAAGATGTGTGGAAATCTCAACCCATAAACATGGATACTGTTCATTCTTAGTGGACTGAGGACAGGGCAGTTTTTCAACCCACCCAGTGGGAGCCTATTAGAAATGTGGAGATGAAGGCTCAGTGTACATGCATGGAAGCTGTCAATTCCAGGCTGCCACTATAGCCAGCAGGACAATGAAGATGACTCTTGGCCTCTCTTATCCACATACAGAACAAGCCAAGGCCAGCTGCACAACAGAGACCAGGAGCTTGTCCCCAAGTTGACACAACAGCCTGAAGAGGCAGTGGTACCGGTGCAGGTGATGGCATCCAGAGCAAAGCACTCTCAGGCATCAAAATGGATCCCTATGTACTGCTCTACGGCAGAGTCTACTAGGCAATCGGCTTTGCCACTGGACAGTCACACCACCACTCAGAGGCAGGCCACAGAGATAAACCCTCTGGACATGGCTGGGTGCAGTGACTCAAGCCTAATCCCAGCACTTTGAGAGGTCAAGGCAGGATTGTTTGAGGCCGGGAGCTCAAGGCAAGCCTGAGCAACATAGCAAGACCCCATTCTCTACGGTGGGGGGGGGGGGGGGGCGGGGTGAGAGTCAGACATGCAGCATGTGCTTATAGTTCCAAATACTTGGAAGGCTGAGGCAAGAGGACTGCTAGGGCCTGGAAGTTTAAAGCTACAGTGAGCTATGACACCACCACTACATTCTAGCTCAGCAACAGAGCGAGACTACTGCAGGTAAAAACAAAAAAGCTATATAGGCTCGACGCCTATAGCTCAACCAGCTAAGGCGCCAGCCATGTACACCTAAGGTGGCGGGTTCGAATCCCCAGCCCGGACCCGCCAAACAACAATGACGGCTGCAACCAAAAAATAGTCGGGCGTTGTGGCGGGCGCCTGTGGTCCCAGCTACTTGGGAGGCGGAGGCAGGAGACTCGCTTGAGCCCAGGAGTTGGAGGTTGCTGTGAGCTGTAATGCCACGGCACTCTACCCAGGGGGATAGCTTGAGGGTCTGGCTCAAAAAAAAAAAAAAAAGCTATATACATACGAGAGCAGCAACACCAAGATAGAGCACACTGTCTACCAAGACCTGCCCTCTCAGTTGCTACTCAGAAATGAGAAAAACAAGTAACATCAAAGAACCACTTACTCCAGAGGAAACAACTGAAAGAACACCAGTTCAGATTTTTGGATTTTAGTTACAGATGTCCCTACTAACTGAACTCACAATCCAGATATGTGCTAAGACCTCCAAGAATTTCATCCAAAATCTATCAAAACTGAATTCTCTAACAATGTACCACCAACCACACACTACAGTTACAAACGTCTAAGCGAGGATGCAGAATCCCTCAGCTGCTCTCCCAAAAGGACCACCAGCTCACTCTCGTCCCCAGTAGATGGCAAGACACTATCACCCTGGCTCCTCCTGTCATTGATCCTAACTTGGGCAACAGTTCTCTGGAGGTAACTATTTTAAAATTGTTTTATTTGACTAAGTTTTATTTGCATTCATTATGAATCTTTGTTACCTACAATAGGTTACTCCAAAAGGACATGTTTTGTGGCACTGAAGGAAAATGCAGGATCATAGTATGACTCAAGCATACCCACTGAGGAATTCAGATGTTAAATGAATAGGTAATTGTGTCAAATGCTTCATCCCTCAAATTTTGGGGGATTATATAAGTATTTAAGAGTGTTTTACTGACATGTTCGTATATAAAGTAATAAAATATAAACTCTGAAAATTCTCTAGCCTAATGTTTTCAGGAATACAATCAAGTCAGACAACCAGGGAGACCTCAAGTGTCTCCAGAGATCTGAAAATCCTAGAATAACAGATGCTATGTAGAAGGATAAATCAGAAAATAAGAGCTCTCAGAAATTTAAATTCACACTGTCAAAATAAAAATGTAACCCCAGGAAGCTTTTGAAACAAATGGATATAAAAAATGAAAATCAAGACATTAGAGAAAATGTAAAGGACACAGGACATCTGTCCAGAAGCTCCCAACACTTCTGAGTTCTAAGAGAACAGAGAAGATGGAAAGAAATAATCAAGGAAATCACAGACTACTCCAGAAGTAGCGAAACGTGGGAGGAAAACGGAGTGAGGTGAATAAAGACTTTCACTTAAATACATCCTTATCCTCTATAAGTTACTGGGAAGGACTAAATCTGGCATTCAGGACAGTGAAGCTCCGGGGGAATCATGGAGTCCTACACTCCAGTGATCAATGAGCATGAGGACCACAGAAAGCCAGCTGCACACACAGCCCCTGGAGAGTGACCCTCCACACCTGGGGTCTGCAGAAGCCTCACGAGGTGCTAGCAGAATAGATGGAGAATAAGAACAAGGAAGACCCAGGCACCGATCTAAGAGAGGAAGGGCAGTTCGAGGGTGGCAAGTATGCAGGTGTCTGTCATGAGGGGTGGTATGGTTAAGAGCAGGGGTCCTCAAACTTTTTAAACACAGGGCCAGTTCACTGTCCCTCAGACCGCTGGAGGGCCGGACTGCAAGCCCTGGGATGAGTCGGCTGCTCAGCAGGACAAGCAGCAGTGGCAAAAACACTCGGCAGGCAGGATAAATGTCCTAGGCGGGCCGCAATTTGAGAACACCTAGTTAAGAGCATGTACAAATTTAAGAATACTGTGAAACGTGTTATTTTTGCACAAAAGGAATCTAAAACTTCTCAAAAAATAAAAAGCAATAACAAATGTCTTGGCTCGGTGCCTTGCCTCGGCTCAAGTGGCTAAGGCGCCAGCCACATACCCCTAAGGTGGCGGGTTCGAATCCAGCCCGGCCCGCCAAACAACAATGATGGCTGCAACCAAAAAATAGCCAGGCATTGTGGCGGGCGCCTGTGGTCCCAGCTACTTGGGAGGCGGAGGCAGGAGACTCGCTTGAGCCCAGGAGATGGAGGTTGCTGTGAGCTGTGATGCCACCGCACTCTACCCAGGGTGACAGTTTGAACTCTGTCTCAAAAAAAAAAGAAAAAACAAATGTTTTAAGGTTCCCTCCTAAAGTAATCAGAACTGGAAGATGAATGTAAAAAAAACAAACTGGACCTTGATATTGAGAACATGTCCTACAATGGCCAGGAGTCATGGTAGTGGACCCAGCACCATCACACTAACCAGGAGGGAATACACTTGTTTTTAATAAAGTAAATGCTTCTGTTTGCCAACTTTTAGAATCTACCTATAGACAGACTAGAGGTCTCATTTCCTTTCTGTGCTATAACCATGGTGTTCCACACAGACCAGGCTTCATAATGGGAAGTCAGGTTTAAGGACATAATATTTAAGCTGAAGAACAAGAAATAATACACTATCAAAACCTGGGGCAAGGATGAGGAGGAAAGTACAGGAAAGGCCAGCATGAGTTAAGCTAGATCACTTTTCCTAGCATCAATAGCAATACTCTTACGTGGTTTAAAGAAACATTCATGCATGTAAGCCTGTGGTTTCCAGCCCCCAGGCCACGGACCAGTACCAGTCAGTGGCCTGTTAGGAGGCAGAGCTCAGGCGATGATGTTGAGAGGCCAGGTCCCCATTTCCCCCCATCCACAGAAAAACTGTCTTCCATGAAACCAGTCCCTGATGCCAAGAAGGTTCTGGTCCATGCCTAGGAACTCAGCTACATCACAGCTAGAGGTGTGGCTGAGGGAGCAAAGTTTCACCTGTATTTATGGCCACTCCCCATCCACCTGAGCTCCACCTCCTCCTATCCCATCCACCTCAACCCCATGAAACCAGTCCTTGGTGCCAAAAAGGTTGGGCACCGCTGGTTTAAATAAATCTTACTGATAGAAGTAAAAAAGCAAAAATGTTCTGAAGTGGTTTTCTCTAGAGAAATAAAGTGGTCACTTTGGGCGCTGGGGGAGTGATAGGAGCGTGGTGAAGGGGGTCTCAGCCACGCTATTCCCTGAGCTGGGTGTGATCAGGTGGATGTTTCCACTCTGTGAAAATCACCTAGTGAGGCTTGGCGCCTGTGGCTCAAGTAGCTAAGGTGCCAGCCACATACACCTGAGCTGGCGGGTTCGAATCCCCAGCCCGGACCCGCCAAACAACAATGACAGCTGCAACCCAAAAACAGCCAGGCGTTGTGGCGGGCGCCTGTGGTCCCAGCTACTTGGGAGGCGGAGGCAGGAGACTCGCTTGAGCCCAGGAGTTGGAGGTTGCTGTGAGCTGTGATGCCACAGCACTCTACCTAGGGCAACAGCTTGAGGCTCTGTCTCAAAAAAAAAAAAGAAATCACCTAGTGAGGTGACCTCATAATTTGAGCAGCCTCAGTGTATTTTTCTTCAACATGTTTACTTAACAGAATTTTTTTTTTGGAGGCAGAATCTCACTCAGTCACCCTGGGGTTGAATGCCGTGGTATCATAGCTCACAGGAACCTCAAACTCTTGGGCTCAAGTGATTCCCTTGCTTCAGCCTCCCGAGTAGCTGGGACTATAGGTGTCCACCACAATGCCCAGATACTTTTTTAGAGACAGGGTCTCACTCTTGCTCAGGCTGGTCTCAAACTCTTAAGCTCAAGCAATCCACCCACCTCCCAGAGTGCTGGGATTACAGGCGTGAGCACTTCGCCTGGCCTGTGAACAGAAATTTTTAAAAGGGAATACCTCTGGGCAGTTGGAATGGGGGTGGTGTGAGAGGTCCAGCTCCGTCTGAACCCCTGTGCTGACTGTGACAGTGTACATCTTCTTCTCACCAAGAGCATTAGACCAAAGTACTATAACTGACAACACCGACCCACAGGCAAGTGAGAGACAGCTCCCCACAAAAAGAAACAATACCAGTATCCGATTGTCTGAGTTTCTTTGACACTTCAATTCCATTCTCTTCTAACTTCCTCTTTGCACAGTCCTGACATGCATTACCTGAAAGATGAAAACTTATTAAAAAGCATATTTATTCTAGAATCCACCCTCCAAGGACCAATTTATATATCTTATCTTACTGAAGCCATTGGCCAAATGATTCCTGCTATATACTACAGACTTTATCAATCCAGTTAATGCTCCTTCGAAAACAAAACGGTTCTTTTAACTATGTAAGAAACTTTAATAACTATGTCCTTTCACATGGAAATAGGGTGGAAATGGAATACTGAGTGCAATAATTTTATAAATGCTGAGGTGAACACATCCACCACCAGCGCTGATGTCAGCAGTGCCCACACCTGTATACATCATCCTGTCTGTGGACAGGCTGGGCCAAGCAGGCAGAAAAAACAGCTGCACAGAGGCCTCTACTGACCAGACCCCCTTTACCCAACTGACTCAAAGTAGACACACCTGGGACCCTATTCACAGAAGAGGATGCTGTTCACTTGTAAACAGGACTGAGGCCAGGTGTGGTGGCTCACGCCTATAGTCCCAACACTCTGGGAGGCCAAGGCAGAGCCTCAGCTCACAAGTGTAAGACCAGCCTGAGCAAGACCCCGTCTCCACTAAAACTAGAAAAACTAGACTGGCCTTGTGGCAGGTACCTGTAGTTCCACCTACTTAGGAGGCTGAGGCAAGAGGATCACTTGAGCCCAAAAGTCTGAGGTTGCTGTGAGCTATGACACCACAGCACTCTGAGGGCGACAAAGTAAGACTGTCTCAAAAAAACCCAAAACAAACAAAAAAATTTAAACAGGACTGAGTCCAGACAAGAACATTTCAAATGAGTATTAAATAGAAAAATGTGTACGAAACCTACAATTGAAACTGCAGAAGGAATAGGTCATGCTACGTTACTACATCCCCCACCAAATGGTATAACACAAATAGAAGCTCTCAGGCTCCAGACAGCACGTGTTGGGTTCAGCGTGTGTCTTTGTCGGAGTGATGATTTTTAATCCACTGTGACAGGGACTGTACTAAAGGCAGGGCTAGTGATCATCCCATGGGGCTATTTCCATACAGGCTTGTTTAATGAAAGAAACACTTATGATTCTATAATTAGTGACAGGAATGTGTAGGCAAAAAACAGCCTGGCAAAAGTAAAGAGCTGCATTACCCAATAACGTGGTGCTGTCCACCCGATCAGCATCTGAGGAAGGAAGAACAGCCATCAGCAGAACGGAGACTTCACACACCCTCCCTCCCCTTGGGCCGCTGAGGAAGGGCAGCACTGGCTCCCATCCTGCCTACTTGCTGCCCTCCTTGTCCACCTCCAAGGGCTAACAGATGTGAGGACTGGCTGACTGTGTGAAGGACCTGGAGCTGGCTGCCATGTAGGGAGCATGAAGGCTAGTTTATGCCGTCAGTGGGCCTGCTCTCCCATCAGGAGAGGTGCTTCATGAATTCAAGCATGGATGTCCTTCATGACAGACTACAAGTCTGAGTGAAGGCAGCTTGTCAAATCCACACAGCTCCCAAGGCCTGGAAAAGGGCCTCATCAGTCACACATTCCAGGAGTCTGAGCATAGTTTACACTAGACCCTGTCTTCTGGGGAGTCGTGTGGAGGAAGGAAGGGGATAGTCGGGGGAGCACTGGCCCCAGGACACACTTATGTGGGGAGGCTGGCTTTGCTGTCAGGAAGGTCCCAGTCCCGGCTCCACAGTGCTGGGCAGTAACAAGGCCAGTTATTCATCTGAGTTTGTCTCATTGCCTAAAAAAATCATCTAGTTAGTAGCAGTGAATACTGCTATTAAAAAATAAAAGCAAGGGCTTGGCACCCATAGCACAGTGGTTATGGCACCAGCCACATACACAGCCTGGGCCTGCTAAACAACGACAACTGCAACAAAAAATAGCCAGGCGTTGTGGCGGGCACTGAAGTTAGTCCTAGCTACTTGGGAGGCTGAGGAAAGAGAATCACTCAAGCCCAAGGTTTTGAGGTTGCTGTTACCTGTGATGCCACGGCACTCTACCCAGGGTGACGTAGAAAGAAAAAATAAATAAATAAATAAAATACAATAAAGAACATTAAGATTTTCCAGGCATGGTGGCTCATGCCTGTAATCCTATGACTCCACAGCAATCAACCAAGGGTGAAAAAGTGCAACTGTCTTAAAAAAACAAAAAGGCTGGATGCACTGTGGTTATAGCATCAGCCACATGCAGAGGCCAGCAGGTTCAAACCCAGCCTGGGCCAGCTAAACAGCAATGACAACTGCAACAATAATTAGCCAGGCACTGTGGCAGGCACCTGTAGTCCCAGCTATTTGGGAGGCTGAGGCAGGAGACTCGCTTGAGCCCAGGAGTTGGGAGGTTGCTGTGAGCTGTGACACCATAGCACTCTACTGAGGGTATCATAGTAAGACTGTCTCAAAGAAAAAAAATATCTGTAGCAGCGTGTGATGCCCGGTAGTTTGGTATAAGCATTAAGTTCCTCTCTGCTCTAGTTAACAAACTGACTATTGCCCTCTATTTTTATTCATGGAAATAAGTAAATCTTAAATTAGCCCACTTTGTAATTTAGCTGATGGATAACTTGTACATTCTCTAGTCTTTAGCTTACAGCTGGTCATACACAAACATCTTCAAGGTTAATCTAGTTCCACTGTGTCTAGGAGGGTACCTAGCTCCATGTTACAACTATACAAGGCACGCAGATCTTTGTAAGCACTTTCAATGTTTTATGATCCCAAACTTAAAGCCTTTACTGCCCTTATGTCAAAAGAACCAAGTTTAAGAATTTTCCAATCAGGCTCAGCACCTGTGGCTCAAGTGGCTAAGGCGCCAGCCATATATACCTAAGGTGGCGGGTTCAAATCCAGCCCGGCCGCCAAACAACAATGAC